AAAATATATTATTAATCCTACCCGTTATAGGGCTACGGTAAATTATTAAAAATACTATATTATTATTATTATTAAGCGATTATAAAAAGATCTATATTAAAAAGAGCGGGCCGTACTTATCCCGCTATAGCTTTTATTAAGTATTCTTAACGTTATGCTATTTAATAAGTATACTTATAGAATCGTAGATTTAAATAGTAATATAAGTAGAGGTAAGTCTTTTAATTATTAATAATAACTTTACTATAACCCTAACCGTCTTTTTACTAAGCTCTTATTAACTTAGCTTATAAAAAACCTAGCTCGATAAATATAATTCCGTTATTAATAATTTATAATTATACTTATTATATATTATACTTACCCTATACTTATCCTATAGATTAAAGTATTAATATATATAAGCCCTCTATAAGTAGCCCGTTTTTAATATTATCGTTTACTACTACTTAATTATTAATTATTATAATTAATTACTATACTTATATATAAAATTTAAGTAAAATAAGGAGCTATTTTATTACTTCCTTAACTTTAGCTTATTTACTCTATAACCGAGGTCTTATTAATATAGCTAAACCCTTATAAAAAGGTTATTAATTAAATTATTTATTAAATTTATTAGAAAAAGCTTAAGGAAAATATTAAAAAATAGGAATTAAGTAATTAAATTAATATAAAAATATCCTAATATAGTTAATAAAAAAGTACTATAATAATTATATAATCGTATTACCTAGGCTAATATATAGGTAACTTAGCCGCTAGAATTAGCTAGAGCTACTTAGTATAGCTACTACCTAATTCTACTTACTATTTCCCCGAGCGGGCCTAGTATGGGTGCGGGATAGCCTTCGTGTGGGTGCGGAATAGCCGTACTCGCTGTTGATACGGAGAGCAGTCCATACATCGAATATTTGAGCCTCCCTGCTATTTGGTCGGAAAGGGTGGTCGTTGGTCGACGCCTGTTGTACGATGTCAACGAGCAGGCTTTGGCTGAAGGCCTGCCAACCGTACAACTGGCAACCTCTGCCTTGACATTCGGTAACAGATGCCCCTCCTACCTAGCCACAATCCGCTTTGTCATCTTCCAAAACTGCGACGCGTAGACTAAAGACCGCGCCAGGTGGAGTCGCGTTGTGACGCGAAGATGCATCTTGTACCTGCGTACTGTGTCAAGTTACCCAGATGTACCGGTCGAGTAACTTCGCACCCGGCCACCACGAAATTGACAGCTATGCTGCTCTTCATCATTGACCCCTGCAATGCCATCGGCCACAACTTCGACAGCTCCGTGTCTCCACGGCCTTGTGGCACTTCCCTGATCAGCGTGCCTTGTCCACCATTCTCGGACTGGCATGCACGCGTTGAGCAACGGATGGCGACCTCGTTTCCACCTCGTTCGAGAGAGAACCACTAGATACAGCTTCTTTGGATAACCCTCCCTACTCCCGCCATAACACTATGTGTTTGCGCTGCAACACGCACACCACGGTCAATCGACCCACGTTACTCTCATTCCGTTGCATGGCCTAACATCACCAGAAGCCGTACTTCGGCTGCCCACCAGGGTCCGTCCTGACCGGGGGCTCAGGTCAATTGGCCACAGATGCTGCGTCTCAGCCTCGCGTTTAACTGTGCTGTTCTCTCCTCGACAGGCGGCTTCGGGCGAAGGGGATATGTACTGTTGTGGACATGAAACATCAGCTCATGGCTGCCCTGCAATACCATTAGGCGGCGTCACACCTCCTTCGTAGCCGTGCAATTCTCGACCTTGATTTGGTATTGTGAAGTCTTCATCGACTCGACTTTGGGGACCTCGGGAGACCCAAGAGATGATATCTCATCAACTGCGGAATGGCGTCAGTACATACGTTCTCCAGCTTTCTCCATTTCTGCTCTTACATGAACCTTTTGATTGAAGGAAATAAGGGAAATAGGGTCGGTCCAAGTACGTACAGTGTACTGACGCCATTCCGCAATTGATGGGACCGGCATAACGTTGTGCATGCCAGCGTCTTCACTCATGCCACATCCATCCACGGCCGTAGATGCTGTGAAGGCTGAGGAAACCTTGCATACGATACCATCTCTAGCCGCATGCCTGGCCGAGTATGGTTTGGAGAGGCTCCTCGGTGCTAGACAGTATGAGGTCATTGAGTGACGAAGTACCCCGATGAGACGTTTGCTCTGGTCTCGGACGTTGGCGTCCATGATTGAGTCCTTGCATCGATTGAAGCTGAGGTTGAGGCCTGTCACACCGTCACGAGGATGGCGTGTCGTCCTGCCGTCTCGGGGCACCGTTCCTTCCGGGCAACCGAATTACTAATCATGCCCACTCGAACGTCAGCGATGTTTCCCATGTTAGCCACCTGCCTCTGATATTCATAGTCTCCCTGTCATGAGTTCCACAACTCTGTTGGCTTGTCTAGTAACACTCCATGCTAGAGCCTTGTATGCTCGATGGATCTTGGCTACAGCCATGTGGAGGATGAAGTGTTGTTCGAGGTCGTAAGCAAGACATGTCAACGTGCAACACGTCTTTCACTGATATGCGCTGACCACCTCGATGCCGATAGTTGTGACAGGGGGCCAGCGGGATGGCGGCCACTGGGCGGTTTCGTCTGGGCGACTGGCGAATCTCATGCGTCGGGAGTGGGTGATAGTGGCGCCAATCCGGCGGCGTTCGCGCCTCTGCTACTAGTGGGGGGTTGTCTCTGACTCCTATCGGTTGAGGCTCACGGCGACGGATTAGCCTAGGAGAGTCCACTGAGGCGCAAGTCGAAGACATCCATCGTAATGCTGTCCGGTGCCCTTTTGACTTCACCAGGCTTGAGTCCTGGCGTTGCTGGAGGGCGCAATCTGTGACGTCTGTCATCTTCGGGATTGTGTTCTGAATGCTGAAACTCGCGTTAGCCGACGTCTTGGGAAATGAGGGAATGACTGACTGGCGACTCGAGGCATTTTTGCATGTGAAGAGTACCTTCCTACCCCTACAGAGTCAAAGTGCATGTCCTGAAGATGACCGTTTCTGATCTCAGGCCACTGACCTTTTGCTCGTTCTGCCGCGGATGCCTTGCTTGACTTTGCAAGGCAGCATGCCTCCGAAGCTCATTGCGCTGCATCCCGATTAGAATTCGAAGATTGAACCCCACGAATGCAGAACAGGGGTAATTTATAACGGATTCGTCACCAATAAAGCTTTTGCCGGCCCACAACAAGATGAGGAAGATGTCCAGTAGCTCTGCGCTTGATCACTAGGATGCTGCCAATCGTCCCTACGTCAAAACTTCTGCGCTGCTGCATACCTCACTCGTCAGCTCCTCCTTGGATTTTGTCGACGATCCTCGTTCGATTTCCGAAGGTCTCCGCCACGCACATATTGCCGTGAATGAAGATCGTGGTGCATTAGGGGAAGACACCTGCATCGATGACGTCGTGGTAGTCTCCGTTTACCGTGTTCTAAACCACCCTCTGTGACAAGAGGCAGATATGGACAGCTACCTTCGTATGCGGTATTGAGCGAGCCGACGAATTCGTCATGTCGGTTAACAGCACCGTTCCCAGTCGCTTCGGGTTCTGTGCCCCTATGGACATCTGAGCTCGGATGTGTTAGCCCGTTGAATCTGAGATTTGATAACTTTGATCACACCAAAGGTTCAGATAGCTTCCAATGCCAGGTTTTGACGGCTTGGTCTCTGGAAGCAGATGCAAGAAAGCTCCCATCCTTGGAAAATACCATTGAGGTTACACGTTCACAGTGGCCCCTGATCATACGTTTGTTTAGATCAGAGTCAAGTCCAAAAGATGTCTACTGCTATGAACGTCGCTAGCTGCAAGATGGGAGCTGTCGCACGCGACTGCGATGGTGTCCGCTGTCTCGACGAGCTGATCTGCTACTTGACCAGTACAATCACCTACAAGAACAATGCGCGTCTAGCCTTCGGTTCGAGTGATAGATGTAAGTTGACGGCCATGATCTGAGACTGCGACTAGCCTGACCGAAAGCTGATTGATGATCTTGATGCAGTCCCCTGTAGCCCCCTGTCAGAGCTCTCGTTCTGAGAGGATGAAAAAGGAAGGCAACCGTATCTTAAGGAAAAAACATGGGTAGATGGAGCTGCTATTGTCTTTAGCTTTACGAAGGCAGGAACCGCTCACAGTGTTCTATAACTCAATAACGCTCGCTATCGAGAATGACGCCAATGTGCTGCTGTCATATGAAAAGCAGACGAAAGAGGATTGCCACGAGTACAGACTTTTTGAACGCACCTGCCGGTTCTAGTATCCCGCAGCTCAGCATTACCCTGAAGCTGATGCGAGTGTGGCTCCATCGATGAAAAAAGCCGTGGAGCAGACCGGATCGCCGGTGCTGAGCATTCTTGGACAAGAGTCTGTCGCAATGTCCCATAGCTTTACTATGCAATCAGAGGATGCGGAAGTCAGTACAGTCATATCAGAGGAGAGATGCACTGGATTGACGCGGTCCTGATGTTCTTCGAGGGTTCGTAAACGTGGACACCAGGTGTCTGGTACTATAGATGTCAAGGACCATCTTGGCTCATTAGCCATAGCATGTTGCCTCGCGGGACTGCTGACTACCAATGCCGAGATGTAGGCTGACATGGGATCAACCTTGGTGAGGTCCAGGAGTAAGGCATAAATCTGATTGCGTCTCGGTCTGTTGGACCTTGCGACCCGACGGGCTTTCCGAGGTCTGTGAGAAATTAGTGCAAGCACGCAGCGACGATGCCTTATCCACTGACATCAAAGATTTGGAGTATCGATAACATCAAAGGCACCCCTTGAGACGTCCTTCACAGCAGGCCCAAGTCTCCAAGCCAATGGAGAAAGTCTCACCTGATCAATGCATGGAATTGTTCGAAATGCAGCTGTCGAAATTATCGCCAGTAACATGATCAACCCAGTGTACAAATACACAACGGATCTGTACTTACGCTTGTTTTAATGGCACATCGTAACTGAAAACTGCCAGCGGATCAGGATGCGAAACGCGGATATGTTTGGCGGACCCCAGGTCCATCGAGGCGATACTCGGGCCGCAGCGTCCTTGATATGGTTAGTTCAAGCTTCAACAGAACCAAATTCTTGTAATGCTCGATTCCTGATGGCATAGACTTGTCTGGTCGCCCGAATAAGAACTCCTTAACCGATTGGTGTATGAAGTCACTAGCACCTCCGCTTATGTTCGTGACCCTAGTGACGACGGCGACCTGCTCTTCTATAGATCTGATAAGGGTTTGGGCTAGTATCTCGTCTTGGACCGGGTTCTCATTCGGGTTCGGTGACTCGGGCGCTAGGCTTTGCGGATCGGAGCTGTGTCGGGGCGGCAGTGATAACGTCGCCTTCGCCAAATTCCGCTTTAGCGATTATACGTAGACCGCCGGGGGTTCTCGGGGGAGCGGCGGTCATGGGGAGAGAATTCTTGAGGGAGAGGCGTTGGAGCTCAGAGGGGAGGAGGGAGAGGCATCGTTGGAGGAAGTGTGGTCGGAGGAGGTGTGGTCGGAGGAGGGAGGTGTGGTCGGAGGAGGTATGGTCGGCGGAGGTATGGTCGGCGGAGGTATCGTCGGCGGAATCGGGCTTGATGAGGGGTTTGTTTCAACGCCGAATGAGGCATGGGTTCAGGAGGGATATGAAAAAGGGATCGCATGGTCCAAAAGTTATCGCGACTTTCTGGCATAGTCGACGATGGTCAGCCAGCTCGGCCGAATCAAGCGGGCGAGAGGTAACAAACACGGCCGCCAAAACTGACCTTCCATAATCTGCATCCAAACATTCACGGATGTTGGTCAAAATTCCTTCATAATGAGCCCAGAGCGAATTGTGGTTGTGCAGGGCCTTTCTGCGTGTGTCTTCTGTGAAAGCGAGTCGGCTGATGACAAACTGAAGCAACCTAGAGGAATGTGTTTTTTGTGTAAGAGGCGAAATGACCGTGACACTGAGCTCAAGGCTGTAGCCTCTCAGGACCCTTAACTTGTCTTCTTCGTGGTTGATGTAGACGTTTGCAGCCGCCGAATCAACCTCCTGGTTTGGTAGTTCAGAGACAAGACACTTATATCCTCTCTGGCGGCGGCGGCGAAACCTATGTCAATTCTAAACTCAGGACAAACTAGAACAATGACTTTGACGTGCATTCCCAGAACGAGAAGAAAGCTGGTGAGCTGCCCCAGACCTGAGGCTTACTGACCAGTGGCTTCGATGAGTAGCATAGTGCTGTACGGGCATTCATGGTTGACAGCATATACAATCATCCTGCCTAGAGCATCGCAGCTGCTGACGTGTTGAAAGAACGTCTTCCCAGCCCCTGAGTACTCGTGACTGTTGCGAAGAAGTTGAAGAAAAGATGACTCCTGGTTGAGAATCATGAGAAGAAGGCCACAGAGAACGGAAGTTACGTTATTCAGTCGGTCGTCGGTTGCCTGGTAGAAAGAGTAGAAGATCGAGTCGCTTCGACCTTTGAATCCGTCAGTCGAGCCACATAGCAGAATCGCCTTCCCTCTACCGGAGGCGTCTTTGATCTACAGCAGACACTCTCTGTTGCCAAATGAGGGAAGTCATCAGGGTCGAGTGTCTTGCGCCAGGAGCTTGGGAGTTCGCCGCCCTTGGTACGCTGAATGCGTATCTTGTCGTACAGTGGGCCGGTGACTCGTAGTTCAGCCAGGAATCGTAAGTCTTGAGAGGAGCGGCTATGGACGCCTGTTCAGTTTGTTAGCAGTCATCCTCGTGAAGTCTGATGAATCCCTACTAAGATTTACATCTTCAGTGACGTGCAAGTCCCCGAAAACTGAGTGTCGAACGCCGGTGCCACAGAACTCTGATGGTTGATCAGCCCGTGCCAAATGTGACTGTCGTATAGAAGTGTTAGTGGGCAGACCGAGAGATCACTGACCGCTCCATCCTTTTCCCCTTCTCACCTTGAGTCGCGGGAGTAAATTTCTGAACCGCGCTGCGTCGTTCACACCCTCGTTGCGCAAACTCATCGCAACATGGCCTTCTCGCTACTCGATCCTACGGCTCAAATGGTAGCAATGAATCAATGAACCGGACAAAAGTCGCATTCGCTCAGTCCTCCCGACCAAGAGGTTCCCCAACAGGATTCTGACGCAGACTCACCGCGAGCTAGCCTGACTGTACGAAGCTCATGGTGAGACCGTTGTCATCTACTGGAAACCCGTGATTCCTGCGTTTGGTGTAAAGGTGGAAGGGCCGTTTGCAACTGGATAGACCAGCCGCAAGAGCTGAACGATAGACTTGAGAACCACCTATGTCAGGCAGCTCTCTCGCAGCCATGGCTTCAGCATCGCCCATTCAGTCTCTACGAGCGCCATCGTCTTTAATTGTCGGACTCCTATTCTGTGAGGTAGATGTGAAAACATACCTCGATAGGGGCTGAGAGCCCCGGTATTCTCCACGTTGACAGGAGCGCGGCGAGCACGCGGCGACCACCTTCCGAATTCCATTTCCTGCCTACTACTGGCAGTGTCAAATTTGTGGACAGAAAAGAGGTGAATTAGGCTTACATCGTGGCTTCGAACGGCCGTCAAATCTCCATCCATACTGCCAAAGGTCAATTACTATTCCGGTGTGATTGTCGTACTAAGACTCGAAAATCCCATCGACCTCAATATCTCCTAATCCTCCAACTTGTATATTTTTATCGCCCGAACTCCTCGGAAATCGATCGATCTAGCGTAAATGAGAAGGAGCTTTCATTCGGTCTGACTGTGGCCTAACAACGTGCGTTTCTCCCCAAGCCGAAGCCCGAGAGGCGTATCCAATCTACTGCGAACGAATGTCAGTATATGAGCCTGCAATTGCGATGAGGGGAGGTAGCAGATCACGTACTATTCATCACTTATCCGTCTTGTCCCCGTCTTCATCCCGGCCGATGTACCCAATTAAACAGTTTCCGTGTCGCAGAAAACTGGGAGTGTATGTACTGAAGTTGACTCGCAGTCGATGGGATACGTTGGCTGGGCGACTTGTTGCTTGTAGTATGCTGCTGCTTCAACCACGCGTGGGTGTCTTGGCTTCTGCCCGTTGGAGCGGCAGAACGAGGTAAGCTGCCGTCGAACTGGCTGGAGGAAGAGGAAGTGCCGTCGATGTGGCTGGAGGGGAAGGAATTACCGTCGACATGGCTGGAGGAAGAGACTGCCGTCGACGTGGCTGGAGGTAGTGAGAGTGCTGTTGACGTGGTTAGAAGAGAGTGTTGAAGTGAACAGCAGAAAACGTGATCAGGTGATTGCAAACGGCCCTTCCACCTACTTACATTTGACGAAGGAATCGTGGACTCTACCCAATAACTTTCTCCTTTCCTATATAGATATATGTAGCTCAACACGAGAAGCTGAGCTTCGAACCGGCCGAAAGGATTGCCCTGTAACTTCCTCCTTCTATATATATATAGCTAAATATGAGATACTGAGCTTCGTATCGACCGAAAGGATTGCACTGTTCCTTCCTCCTCCCTTATATATACGTAGCTCAATACGGTGTATTGAGCTTCGTATCGGCCGAAAGGCTTGCTCTGCTGGCATGTATACCAACAGAGAGAGCTTGCCGTCGAGTTGGCTACAGGAGGTGCCGTTGAAGTGGCTGATGGGGGAGCTGAGTGGAGGAAGTAGGAGTGCCGTCGACGTGGGCTAGAGGAAATGGAAGTGCCGTCGATGTGGCTAGAGAAAGTGGAGCTACTGTTGAATCAGTCAGAGGTGGAATTGAAATAACAGTATCACTAACGTAGCTAGAGGAAGTTGAAGTGCCATTGACTGTGTCGTTGACGTGGTTAGAGGTAGAATTGACATGGCCACCGACGTAGCCGGAGAGAGTGGAAGTGCCTGGAAACAAGCGTTAGCCATCCTGGCGAAAATACTGGCACTTGTCTGCTTGTCGAGGCGCCAGGCAGACGGGGGGACATCGAGGATCTGAGCTGATCGCAAGTACGCGGAAAACGGAAGATGCCCGCAATGGGCAAGAGTCTTTGTTCAATTCGTATAGATGCTCTGGAAGAGATCTTTACTAATGGAAGTTTGAGATTCAGGCGAATGTTGGATCTGGGAGGTGTAAGGAGGATAAGAACCTTCCGCCACGAGCTCGGGGGAGGAATCGAGGTAAGGTAGGCAACCTGAGACGCCCCGTCCCAGCGGCCAGCGGTCGGGTGGTCGAGAGCTTGTAGAAGGAGCTCTTTCCGTAAAGAGATTTGGAAGAAAGGGGTGGAAGGTTGCGGAAGTGACTCCTCCGCGTGAGGTCAACTTCTGGCGGAAGGAGGTGCACGTGATGAAACGCACTCTCGAAGCTTCCGTCTGGTTTCCGCAGTTAAGAGGAAAGTAGCACAGAGTCGGTCGTGTTCCTGCCAGTGATCTCTCCCCAAATGTTGACGCACCTTCCTCTTCTGTTGAGTCCCCTTCTGCCTGACCTGCGACGGAACCTGCCACTACACGAGGTAGGCGTATTCCAAGCACTGATAAATAAGGTAGGAGGCAGAGCATCCTTGCAGTCGGTACGAAGCCCAATAACCGCATATTGGACTGCGTTTTGGTATGTTTGTGACGTGCGTCCCAACAGTAGGTGTGTGGATGCGAGTTGGGAGGTGCAGATGGTGCTGTCCCTCATGATGAGGCACCCAGTCCGCTCCCATGATCAACGGTTTGCGTCTCTCCATTTATCTCTCAACAGGTCTGGTAGGTCTCAGCCATCGCGTTGCGAGAGGTACCGTTAATCAACATGTGATCATCCCGCAACAAGTTCGACATGCCTTGCTTCGAGATAGACGGGAGGTGACACATTTGAGCGGATACTGAGACTAGCTCACAGTGGAAACCGTCCAAACGCTGAAAATTTACATTAGCCTAAGAGTCGCAAGGAATAATTTCGATTCCAAAACTCAGGATGCCAGCTTCACACAAATTTGGCAACGATTCGCCTGCAAACTGCGGGAGCCTCAGGTATGACCTCACTGGAGCCTTCTATGACCGAGGGTGTAGTTTAAAACCCTAGCGACTATCACCTGAAGGAGGGAGATGTATGGATCATGGAAGATAAGAGAGGATTCCTATGGCTTTTTGAGGCGTATGAATCATACCACAGGGAGGTTGTCGTCATGCTGGCACTAGTGGTGGTATGTTTCAATGGCTGCAAATGCCAGGAAAAATGGCGCGCCGATCAATATTCAGCTCACACTGGCTACGTAGACTTGTATATGAAGCACCAAGTCTAAAAACTCGATCGAACGGTATTGGAATTCTGACTTTGCGGGACGGGGGGGGGGGGGGGGGGTATAAGAGGGGAACGCATTTGTCGATCCAGTCATATTGCTTCCCAAGTGGCTTGCACTTGCGGTAGCGTTGTCTGGTGGCTCCATTCCCGATGTGTTTTTATTAGTATCCCTATTATAAAGTAGTTAGTTCGAACTATAGTTAATAAAGAGATTAATTAAACTATATAAATATTTACGTAATAAGTATAAAAAGGGGGTTCTAACTATAAGTTAAGCTAGTTATAATAATCGTAAATAGGGCCTCTAATTAGCCCTTATATAGTTAGCTATTTATCGTAGTTAAATTAAATTTCTAATTTAATACTAACTTTCTCTTTTTTTTATTAATTTAATTATTATAATTAAAAATATAATTTAACCTTAGGCCTGTTTATTAAGTTATTTCCTTTTCTCCTTTTTTTTTATTCTTTTTATATAACTTATTTTTTTATTTATATATTAACTTTTTTATTATTTACGAATTATTCTAATTTTCTATTAAATATTATTTTTATAAAAGCGTTAATAAGGTTATTATTATTATTAATCTAACGGATTTTAAATATTTCGTACTTTTTATACGATTACTTAAGGGTTATAATATTAATTATAAGCTTCTTTTCCTTTATTATCCTTAATTTAACGAGGTATTTATATAGTAAGTAGGAATTAATATAAATAATTATTAAGATAAGTAAAAAACTAAGTTAATTAGTAATCTTTTTTAGTATTATTAAAATTATATAAGAAAAGTTAACGCCGTTAACTATATTATAGACTTTTAATACTAATATACTTTTTATTAAGTTATTTACTTATTTTTAATTAATAAATAGTAAATTATATTATTATATATAGTAAATTCGCTCTTATTTATACTCTTATTAACTAGGATAATAATATACCCTAATTATAAAATAAGGTTATTATTATTTATAAATAACTTATTAATAAAAATATAGAGCTTATTAATTATAAAGTTAATTAGGTAGTAAACGAGGCTTTAATTAAGATTCGTTTATTATTATTTAAGCTACTTATTAAGTATTTTAATATCTTATTTAGTTAGATTTATAACCTATACTACCTTAGCGTAGTTAAAAATTACTTTAGGCTAATAAATATTTATAATATATACCTTTTATATAAGCTTAGCTTTATATTACTTCTTAATATTAGTTATATTTAAATTAACGAGGTTAATCTTTTTATCCTATCCCTTTTATTAAAAAATAATAGTTTCTTTTTTAATAATAAGAATCCTATTATTAAATACTAAGGGAGTATTTATTATAAGAACCTCTTTTAGTTTTATTATAAAGCCCGCTTTTTAGAGCTTCTTATTTTTTTTTATAAAGTTAATATTAAATAAACCTAATATATTATTAGTTTATATTCTAACGATTTTAAATTAATTACTTTTATATTTAAAAATTAGTAAGTACGGGTCGTACGTAAATATAATTATTAATATTTAATTAATATAAAAATCGTAATCCCCTTAACGAAGTAATCCGCCGGGGCCGTACTATATATTACGTATTAAGGAAAACTAAATATATTACGCTCTATACTTAATTACTAATTAAAATAGCTCCTGACCTTCCCCCGTAGTCCTTTAAGTTTTAATTATTTAGAGAGCGAGCTATACTTATTTTAATATATATAAAACTTTTTAATATTAGCTCATATAAGTAACTAGATTTTATATTATATACTTCTTTTTATTAAGAGTTAAGGGGCCCCTTATATATTTTTTTATATTTATAATATAACCTATATTAAAGTAACTTCTAGCTCCGTAGAGTATAATTTTTAAATTAGTATTAATATATTAAATTTTAATATCCGTATTAACTTAGCTATTTATAATATTTATATTATTACTTAGCTAAATTCCGTATTATTAAAAAGTATTTTACTAATCCTTAGGCGTATTTATATTAGTTATAATAGCTATAGTATCGAGCTAGCTAAGGGTACTTAGCTCGAGAGGGGTAGACTTATTAATAAGCATTTTTAGCTTATTAATTACTAATTATATACTAAGAGGTTCTTGTTAAAATAGTAGTTTATATAGTAGTTTTTTTTCCGGCTTTATAAGTATAAAAAATCGACCTTAACGGGATTACGCTTTTAAAATAAATTATATAATATAATATACTTTTTAATTATATAATATATATATTATATCCTAAATATATACTTAACGTAATATAGTAATTTCGATATAAAAACTGCTATTTAATTCGGGATAAGTAAGTTATTATAGCGGCGCTAGTTAGAAAGGTTAATAGTAAAGGTCGGCCGTAATAATTAGCTATAATAGTCGGCTACTATAATTAGCTATAATAATTAAAAGCGGCCCTTAATTATAAAGGTTTTAAACTTTAATAATAACATAGAGGTTTCTAAAAAAAAGGCTAAATAGGTTAATATTTACTACTTTTTAGAGCTCGTAAAGATTCTTTTTATCCTTATCGTTTTTAATATTATTTAAAACTACTCTCTATTTAAACTAAATAAATTTACTAAACGAATTTACTAAATAAATCTACTAAATAAACTTATTAATATATAAACTATTACTTTAATAAGAACTTATTTTACTCTTAGTATATAGTTAGTAATTAGTAGGCTAGAACTCTAAAAATACCCGTTAATAAGTCTGCCCCTCTCGGGCTAGGCGCCCTTAGCTAGCTTAACGTTATAGCTATTATAGTTAATATAAGTATATTTAAAAAGTAGTAAAGTACTTTTTAATAATACGGAATTTAGTTAGGTAATATTATAAGTACTATAAATAGCTAGGCTAATATAAATATTAAGATTTAGTATATTAATACTAATTTAGTTATAATAATTATAATAAATAAGCTAGAGGTATATAAAGTTAGGGTAATAAACTAGCGCCTTAAATAGTTCTTATAGAACCCCCTAAGTAATAATAATACTTATATAAAAAAATAGATTATATTAAACCTAGCTATTTATATAGGCTAATATTAAGAGGTCTTATATATATTAAAATAAGTAAAGCTCGCCCTATAAGCGGGTAGTAAAAAGTTAGGAGCTATTTTAATTAATAATTAAGTATAGAGCGTAATATACTTAGTTTTCTTTAATATATAATATATAGTACGGCCCTAGTAGATTGCTCCGTTAGGGGGAAAGTAGTAGTTTATATATTAATAAGTTTATTTAGTAAATTTATTTAGTAAATTTATTTAATTTAAATAGAGCTTTAGGCAATATTAAAAATAATAAAAATAAAAAGAATTTTTACAAGCTCTAGTATAAGTAGTAAATATTAGTTTATTTAGCCCTTTTTTAAAAAACCTCTATGTTATTATTAAAATTTAGAACTTCTATAGTTAAGGGCTACCTCTAACTATTATAGCTAACTATTATAACTAACTATTATAACTAACCTCTATTATTAACCTTTTTAATTAGTACTATTATAAAGTAGCTTACTTATCCTAAATTATATAGCGGTTTTTATATTAAAATTATTATATTATATTAAGCGCGTACTTAGGGTATATTATACGTATTATATAGTTAAAAAGTATACTATATTATATAATTTCTTTTAAAAGCGTAATCCCGTTAAGGTCGATCTTTTGCGCTTATAAAGCTAGAAAAAAAACTATTATATAAAAATCGTAATAAATAATTTATTAATAAGTGCCCGATTTTATAAGCTTATATAATAGCTTAAGTACTTTAATAATCGTACTTTCTAAGTACTTATTAACTATTTCCTTTAGTAAATAGGCTAGGATTTTTTTTATAAGCCCTATAGCTAATTAGGTATAGGCCTAAGTAATATTATAACTCTAAATCTCGTATCCTTTTTTCTATAATAATATTATTAATACTATTATTAACTATTAGTTATAATACTATATAATAAATAATTATATAAGTAGCGTTATTTTTTTAACGTTGCCGTACCCTTAAATTATATACTTAAACTTCTTATATAGCTAAGGTATTCTTTTCTTTTTAATTTTATAAACTATTTACAATTTAAATATATAGAGGTTTATATACTTCTTTAAATTATAGAGGATAAATTAATAGACCCCTCGATTATTAAAAGTATTTACTTTAATAAGATGTAATCTCTTATATAACTTTTTAATAGTTATAGTTATACTTTTTTTACGTAGTTTAATTACTAACTTAAAATTAGCTTTTTTTTATTATATAAAAAGTATTAATTACCTCGTTATTAATAATAAATTATTATATTAGGGC